TTTTCTGTTTTGTTTTATTCTTGGATCGGGCTTTAAAGGGTTAAACTGAGAGCAAACGTTTAATGCAGAGCGGGAATCAGACCTCTGCCATTAATAATCGATACGGCTGCAGTGACCTGGGCGTTTGCACCGTAATTTGTCCCGTTTAGGAGCGAAAACCTGACACACATTTATGGTGATTTCCCCTCGGTGGAAAACCCTCATGACTCAGAACATGGAGTCTTTAGTATGCACACGCCACCCATCTGCCATCCCGTGTCCTCTGCTAAATCCTTCAAACTTTGACTGAAAGTCACCGTGCTGCTTTACTGATACAATCACTTTTTTGTGGAAAGACTAGTGCACATTTAAAGGCATTTTTCCCAAACTCTCAAACTCTATCTTTTAATACAGCCTCAGGGTAAGACAATCTCAGCCAACCTCCTGATCTCCACTTCCAATGATTATAAATTTACTTTCTCTCCACTGATTTAACCCTTTAAAGCCTTATCCAAGAATAAAACTAAAAAGAATTTTTTTTTTTTTTTTTGTGAAGTCTATATTTGGCCTTTGAACAAAATATGTAAAAAGAAAAAGAAAAACACATTTTTAATATTAATAATTTATTACTATGCGATAAGTCAAGATTATCTTCTGCCCCCTGTTATCAGGTGTATCTGATTGTGTACAATAGAAAAATAAATAAAAATAAAAAAATAAATTAAATAAAAAAAATAAAATAAATAAATAAATAAATAAATAAATTAAATAAACATAAAAAATAAATAAAATAAAAATAAATTAAATAAAAATACATATATATATATATATATAAATATATAAATAAATAAAAAAAACAATAAAAAAACAATTAAAAAATTAGGATTTTGAACAAAGTTTTTACCATTCAATTATAATCATTTAGAAACCCTCATTTTAGAAACCGTATGTATCAGATATGACACATTTGGCATTACAGGGTTAACCACCACCATGAATCCCATCTTGTGACCACTGTAGAGAGACAAAGCAGAAAGGAGGAATGGTTGCTATTTAGATGTCTGTGCCACCAGTGAAGACATTTTTCTTCATACCACCGGGGACCGGAGGCTAATGGAGCGTGAGAGTGGCGTTTCCCCGGGAGACGTGAGGCTGAGTCCCGCCCCCAACGGCCACACTGGGCCCACTCAGGGGGAAACATCCACGGCTGTAATTGGTCAACAGCACAGCGGGGAGTTTCATATATTTTTTCATGCCGTGTGGATCATTCAAGTCTGACTACACTGACTTCTCCAGGGTGAAGAGAAAAAAAGCATATATAAATATATATATATATGTACAGTGGGGGAAATAAGTATTTGACCCCTTGCTGATTTTGCAGGTTTGCCCACTTACAAAGAATGCTTATTTTTCCTCTTCAGATGGTTATCAATTTTTATAAATTCATATGATGTGATTTTCTGGAATTTTCTTTGGGATTCTGTCTTTCACTGTTAGAATGTACATATGATTCAAATTATAGATCGTTCCATATATATATATATATACATATATACAGTATACAGTTGGGGAAAAAAGTATTTGACCCCTTGCTGATTTTGCAGGTTTGCCCACTTACAAAGAATGCAACGATCTATAACTTTAATCATATGTACATTCTAACAGTGAAAGACAGAATCCCAAAGAAAATTCCAGAAAATCACATCATATGAATGTATAAAAATTGATAACCATCTGATGAGGAAAAATAAGCATTCTTTGTAAGTGGGCAAACCTGCAAAATCAGCAAGGGCTCAAATACTTATTTCCCCCACTGTATGTACCAAAGTATTATTTTTATTTTTGTTTGCCCAGAGTTGTCTGACATCCCATCGATACACAGGCTGATTTTTTAGGTCACAATTGCATTGATTGATGGAGCAGAGGGTTCGGTTGAATTGTTCGAATGCACACAGAAAACCATCGCTGTCCATCTCTGTCTCTGAGTCTAACAGAGGTCCAGTTCATTCATTAGGACAAGATCCAATCAGAGATATTAATAACTCATTTAAATAAACTAATTTACTTTAATACACACACACAGACACATATATATATATATATACATATATATATAAATAAACTAATTCATCTGAGTTTATGTGTGTGTCTATAAACTAATTTAATACACACACACATACATATATATGTATATGTATATATACAGTAAATGTATAAATAAACTAATTCATGTGAGTTTATGTGTGTGTATAAACTCATTTAATACACACACACATACATATATATACATATATATATATACAGTAAATGTATAAATAAACTAATTTATGTGAGTTATGTGTGTGTGTATAAACTCATTTAATACACACATTTAATGTATACATGTATATATATATATATGTGAAAATAGATATAAATATATATATATGAAATAGATAGATAGATAGATAGATAGATAGATAGATAGATAGATAGATAGATAGATAGATAGATAGATAGATAGATAGATAGATAGTTCGTTGTCTTTAGAATAAAATGACCTCTTACAGTACAGTAGACATGTATAACTACACCTTGCACAATAGAAAAGTCACCGTAAAAACCAAAAAAAAGAAAAAAAAGGACTGCATATCCACATTTGTCTTTTCATGATGATAACATCACATCCCGGGTTGTATCACTGAACACACACACAAACACACCTTTAGACTCCATTACTGGAGTTGTTGGGTGAGTAAACGCTGAGCTTTCTTATCAGTGGCTGCTGCTTATCACTCAGCCACACAAGCTGCAAAAGAAAAAGAAAAAAACACAAAAAACTATTATAGATGAACCCGAGAAGACGCTATCTGTATCAACATATGGCGCATGACATTTCCCTCGTTTTTTCCTTTAACGCTCAGATAAAAATATGCATCACATACAGGTACCAACAGGTAAGCTGATAAAGGGGAATATCTCACTAAAGTTTCTTTTAAACACCCCCCACTGCTCAGATACTCTCCAGTCTGTCCTCTGCTCAGGGTTGAATCTATAAGTCTTTTCACCATCATTACAAAGGCTGTGTGTGTTAATGCTGTTTCATTGATTTTGCTCATATCTTTGATTGATCGCTCTTTGGTTCAAGCCGAGTAAACAAGGAAAATATCCTGATTTAAACCATAATGTCATGATACACTGAGTTCATCAGGAAATATCTGGGACTTGATTTGCTTCACTAATTAAATAAATAATAAATATAAATATAAGTAATAATACATTTATTATTAATAAAATAAATAGAATAAAAATAAAAAGTCAAATAAAAGAAAGTATTATGAATATATTAATAATAATAAATATAAATAATAATACAGTTATTACTAATAAAATGAATTGAATAAAAATAAAAAGTCAAATAAAAGAAAGTATTATGAAGACATTAATCATTATAAATATAAATAATAATACAGTTATTACTAATAAAATTAAATGAATAAAAATAAGAAGTCATATAAAATAAAGTATTATGAATACATTAATATTAATAAATATAAATAATTTCCCACTGGGAATACTAAAGTATTAGTAATTAATACTCAAATCAGATTGACTGAAACAGCAGATCTATGTTTACATATGCGAAAATTCAGCCTTTTCAAAAGTGATTTTTCATCACTTTTGGATTATATTATATTATATTATATTATATTATATTATATTATATTATAT